GAAAAAAAAAAAAAAAAAAAAAAAAAAACAAATTTGACGTCAAACAAAAAAAGAATTAAAAAGAAAAAAATAATTAATTTTTTTAAGAAAAATGCATTTTTAACACATAGGTTTAATCTCTGTTTAACTATTTTCGATATTTATTTAGATCATTCGATATCTCTTTGATATAGTTCTCAAAATGAGTTTCGAGAGAATGTAAAATATTTACCGATTCGATTATCGTACAATCGTCGACGAATTTTTAAAATTAACTTGTTATCGAAAATTTTGAAATAGTAATAAAATAATTGATTTTTTTAAGAAAAACGAATTATGCGTATTTTTTAACACATACGTTTAATGTCCATTTAACTATTTTTGATATCTATTTAGATCATTCGATATCTCTACGATATAGTTCTCAAAATGAGTTTCGAGAAAATGTAAAATATTTATCGATTCGACTATCGCACAGTCGTCGATGAATTTTTAAAGTTAGCTTGTTATTGAAAATTTTGAAATATAGTTTGAAAATGCCTACTTTGACCTCCGATAACATTTGCTATGATTGACCGTTTCACTCACCGTTAACGACGTGTAATACTATGTCGCAAGTACTTCAAAATGATATTAAGAATATAATATTTCGACTTCATTTGATATCCCGTAATGAGCCTGCTGCGCGGAGTGCTTGGCTAAATTTTTTTTTTTTTACGGATGTTTTTTTGGTAATTCGACCATAACTTTGGCTACGGTTATCAGAATCGTGCCCATAACCCCAATTCGGAAGCTCTTTTCGACGCGCACGTCGTGGCCACCAAGCTACGCTGGGTGGACATCATTTTCGAGGTCAAAATTCGATGTTTTTCCTTCCAAATCTCCTATAATTATTTTCTTCATTTACGCGTTTGATGTACGTTTAACTATTTTTGATATTCATTTAAATAATTCGATATGTCTATAATATAATTATCGAATGAAGAAAAGTAGGGCGATAATAATTTTATTATGAATTTTTATGCCAAAAACAAAAAAAATATATTTGACGCAACATCTATAAAAAATATATCTTCTATGTTACATCGAAACTCATTTCGAGCACTATATCATAGACACGTCGAATGGTTTAAATGAATATCGAAAATAGTTAAACAAAGATCAAACGCGTAAATGAAGAAAATAACTATAATTGAAGATTTGGAAGGGAAACAGCGAATTTTGACCTCGAAAACGATATCCACCCAGCCTAGCGAGGTGGCCACGACGTGCACATCGAAAAGAGCTTTCCGAATTGGGGTCATGGGCACTATTCTGATAACCGTAGCCAAAGTTATGGTCGAATTACCAATAAAAAAAAAATTTAAGAGTGAAGCAAGCACTCCGCGTAGCGCGGAGTGTCTAATTTTTATTTATTTATTTTTTTTGGTTTTGTTTTTTTGTTTTTTTACGGAAGTATTTTTTTTATAATTTTACAATTTTTTTTGTTTTTTTTTTACAGACGTATTTTTTTTCTAAATATTTTTTTTTTTTTTTTTGTAATTTGACTATAAGTTTTGCTACGGTTATCGGAATTGAGCCCATGACCCCAATTCAGAAAGCTCTTTTCGACACGCACGTCGTGGTCACCCAGCTTCACTTGGTGGACATCGTTTTCGAGGTCAAATTTGGCCGTTTTCCCTTCCAAATCCCCAATTATAGTTTGATGTCAAATTTAAAAAAATGCGTATAACTTGTCTTTTTTTAACGCAACATCTATAAAAAAATATATTGTCTATATTTTATCGAACTCGTTTCGAGAACTATATTATGGACTCATCGAATGATTTAAATGAATATCGAAAATAGTTAAAGGTACATCAAACGCATGTCTTAAAAAGTTTACAAAAAAAATATATTAATAGTATAATTAAAAAAATAAAAATAAAAATTTAAAAAAAAAAACTTGTTTCCGTGCAAAGTCAACAATTGTGGGCGTAAGTGACCATTAAGCCCTCAATGTGTGAATTAGTGTAAGGTGAGATTTTAAAGGGTAAAATGGGAAAACAATGTAAATGAGGAAAAAAAACAAAAAAAAGGATAAACTACTGTAGTAAAACCAAATAAATTGGATGCAGTGTGAAAACGCCTGTGACAGAAATGAACAGTAATCTCAAAGCCTCTTTTTTAAGAGATAGTAGATAAAAGCAAAAATAGAATCCTTGCCAAATGGATCATATACTGTATTAACATAATGTCTTTGAAGCGAAAAATTGAGCAGTGAAAAATAAGCAGCTTATGGTTAAATAAGTGAAAATGGATATGTGCCATTAGCTATGGCTGATAATTCACCACGTTTAGTGAAAAATTCCAGATTCAGATTTAAGCATTAGAGATATTTTTTTCATTCATGGAACCGATACCACCTCTGAAGAAACCTAATTTTCCTCATCAATGGACTCCAATCAGTACTCAATTTTCATCATTTCCCATAAACAAATTTTCCCTAATTCAAATCCCCATTCCAATTACACCAAAACTTCATTTGAAATCCACCCAAAAAATTCCTCAAATCAAAAGCTCAGTTGAGAAAATGAAGAATGTCGAAGCCTCAATCCCAACCATGTCCGATATCATGGAGTCATCAAGAAGACAAAATCTCGATCTTCAGCTTCAAACATTTGGGCCTTTTTTCAGAATCACAGCCAAAAGCTTGGAAACTCAGAGGGAATTGGGTAGAGCTGAAGGAGTGATTAGGGTTTGGTATGGCGGCAAAATTCTGCATTTGGATTCAATTAGACTGCAAAGAGAGACGCTGGGAATGGAGAAATCAATATTTGGTATTGGATTGTTCATTGGAGCAGTGGCAATTAGACATGGATATGATTCTGGTTGCAAAAAAACTGAGCTGCTCGCCATCAATGACACTGACCTTTACCATTTGAAGGTTTATTACTTCCCTGTGATTTATGTTTATAAATTTATTCAAATGTTGATGTTATAATCTCACTTTCTTACATAAAAAACATGGACTAGATAAGGGAAGTTAAAATTCATAAGAAGGATCCTTTTATTCAAAATGTCATAATTCTACCCTCATATATGTTTAAAGATGAACACTTCATTTTTCGAACTCCTGACGATATCGAGTAAGGTGTCTTAGAAAGATGTTTAGGAAAAGTGGGTGTAAGTTTGAAGTCTTTTGTGTGATGAAAAAGAATAAAAGAGCAATGGATTTACTTGATTGAGTTGGGGTTGAGGTGATATCCCTATCAAAAACGGCAAAAATAATTAACGGGCTTTTGAATTCACTAGGAATATTATTAGCCCCCATTGATTTTTCTAAAAATTAGATTTTTAGTAGATTTGACAAAAATTGATGAAGTGTATGGTTGAAAAAATTATGATTAAAATTAATTGTTGACTTTGATTATGAATTTTATGAACTTTTTTAGCTAAACCCCGAGCTAAGAGTTTTATATGATAATATGAAATTTGTTATGCTAGAAATACGTTCTTGAATGTGGTTTGTACAGAATGTACTTACTAATAAGTTTCCAATATGGCAGCTTGTAAGATTTTACAAAAGAATTGGATTTAGTGTTGTGCATGAGGTGACTGGTTCATCACTTGGAGATCTGTGGCACATGTTAGTTTGGGGAGGTGTTGGCACACGAATGGATGCAAATGTTGAAGATCTTATGATCAAATGGTGTACTAGATTTAAGAATCAAAGAACATCATCTTCTTAAGGTTATGATGAAAATTTTGATTTGGCCGAGGATTAGATTTTTTGTTGGAGGGCTAAGAAGTGGTTCGTTGTTAATTATGTACTTAGGTTTTTTCTCCCATTCGTGTGTTTCAACTCACTCTTCGAGATATGGTTACAGTACCATGTTACTTGATACAAGAAAATTGTAAATGATTTCACATTATTTCATTTAGTTGAATCTTGTTTAGTTCGTCGTGCTAAATATTTGTCTAAAGTATTTTTAATTCACAAAATAATCAACTACAACAGGGCATTTGGTCTAGTGGTATGATTCTCGCATTGGGTGCGAGAGGTCCCGAGTTCGATTCTCGGAATGCCCCATTTTTACAAATTATTTTAGTAAGCCACAGATCACTTTTTTATTTCCTTGTTAACCTGGACAGATCTGCTTGTAAATAAAAGAATCAAGACAGAGAAAAAATAATAATAATAATAATAATAATAATAATAATAATAATAATGATAATAATAATAATAATGATGATGATGATGATGACGACGACGACGACTATCCAGATTCAAGCACTGATATCACAAGTGTTGAAGCTAGATTTAATAATGTAACCTTATTAACTATTAAGTCATAGTTAAATAATTACATCAATAATGTAACATTATGAGGAAATAGTTACTGCCCACTGAAAGGTCTAAATAATGTTGATTCAGTTGCCTGCCTCAATAATGCATCTGAATCAGAAAATAGTTACTCTGCTGCCTAACTCGTTTCCAAAGTTCTATTTAACTCTGTTTCTGGTCAGTTCTGGAGTCATCAGATATGAGGACCTCCGCACAAGGGTACTTTCGGGACGCAAATACAATTTTATTAAGAATATAGAAAATGGAAGTCTATTACTTTGAGGACTCGGGATGCAGAGTATTTAACCTGTATTTAGTAATATATAACGGCCAAATAACAGATATACTGGCTGCTCAGTAGAAATCCTAATTTTTTGCACTAAACAACTAAGCCTGAAATGAAAGCACGATCAATCAATGACAGTAACACTGACCTGCACAATTCGCTGAGCTCCATCGAATGATAGGAAATTTCAAAGGAGAAGAACAAAACAATGCATGCCAACCAGGGAGCACCTGTATCTTCAATAAGAAAAATGACTCCGGTTGTCTGTTTCAAATTTTCAATTACATCATCAATTATGGATCTTATAGTGCACTTTATCCAAAGTCCTTCAAATAATTTTGACAATACCAATTCACACAAATAAGCCTTAATTCTTGCTTTGGGTGTGGTAGGTCCAGAGTTCAATACTCAGAGTGACCCAGTCAAATTGAGGAGGTCATGAAACCGACAAATTCATTTTAGTTTGTTTCAATTATATTTGGGGGAAAAGATGAATGAACTAATGAAATAGAGGTAAAAAAATGTCTTCGAGACTGTAGATCAAACCCAGGGAGGACAACATATTGTGACTGAAGCCGTCTATTGTAATAAAGTAAATTGCGCATAAACTGCATTAAATGTGATGTTATAGATCCATCAGAAAACTAAACCCCATTGAGCACTACACCAAAGTCTATTAGCGTGCATAGCTAATTATTTTTCCAAAAATCAAAGTAAATATAATAACTGAAATTTCGATTTAAAAAGGGAACTTCTCAACTCATATTCAGGTATCACTCTTCATAAACCAATGGAGCATTCTCTGTTAATATAGTAGCCTATGTTATAAAAGAAAAATGCTTTTGATGGGCCTATAGGGTATAGGTCAAACAATTTTGCAAAAGGTGGTTCGAGGAGCGTAACAGTCAAAAGGCTGGCTAGAATAGCTTATATACAAAAAAGGCAAGACGTGGTAACTTGTGGAATTTGGTCTAATGGTATGATTCTAGCTTAGGGTGCGATAAGTCCAAACCATTTAGATCTCATCTATTAATGTCCATTTAGTTATTGGATGTGTGACTTTTCATCAAAACTCCATTTACACCCAATCCGTCTAATCTGCCACAACATCTAACCATACAATCAACAAAACAAAAAAAAAAAAAACTTCAAATCACTGCTTTAAAAGGATTCAATACAAAACCTAAATGGTTTAACTAGTTGAAAAGATGACTGAAATGACAACTAAATAAACAATGATGACGAGAGAAAAGTTCATAGAAACTCAGTCATAGTTATAGCTTTACCCCCGATTTTCATAACAGATGGCCTACTAATCTAATCATTGCAAGATACTTTAAAACCTTGCAAAATACTTCCTTGGGAAGGTAGTCATCGACATGTTTTTTGTACAACTGGCAAGTATATGATGCAGGGAGTGGACTCAGTAAAATTCAGACCATCTGGGTGAAGCGCAATGACCACTCACATTTCATGGATTGAATTTGGGTATTTAATTCTCAGAAACCCAAATTTATTTCTTGTTAGTTTGATTGACTTTTACAGTCCAATGCTTATTAATACACAAGTCCCAGCGGAAAGAATCTCCAGTTAAAATATGATCAGCATCTAGCAAACAATTTTTAAAATAGTACCCCAAAAGGGAGAAAATAACAATACATATACTTAATTAACCTATAGCCTGCTCTACAATTTTAATTCAAGGAACTCACAAAACCCTGCTCATTGCTACTCAACTTACTTATTCAATTGTGAAGTACTGATACATGAAGCTAAATTAGGGGCAGCCATTTACTTAAGCATTAATGACCGTATAAAATACTGTGTATATAAAGAATATAATATACTTAGTATACTTAAACCTTAATCACCATATAAAATACGTGAATAAATAATATGAAGGGTCAAAAATTGCACCGTTAACAGCACCAAAAACATTGAAAAGGCAAGATTACTAAGGAAACTGCTACAAACACGTAAAAATCAGCAGTCATATGTAGAATAAAACAAAAAATCGTGTGAAAGTTACACGGTAGAATCACTGAAATGAACTGATTTTGTAAGATTATGCTTGAGCTATTTTGCTGCAAATCGCACTTTCTTGACGAAACCCCAGTTCAATTTGGTTGGCGAAAAACACAGAAATAAAAAAATAGTAGCGTAATTTTGATTTCTCTCTAGCCATTTTGTAGCGGTAAAAGAGCACATATTTTAATTTGGGGAATGTTTTGGAAAGAATGTTAGGTAGTCTCAGGTGAGGGAATAATGAGAAGTATTATTTTATTATAAATGATTGAAGAGAAATAATATAATAATAAAATAAAATATAGTACACATGAAATAATCAACCACATGCTTTAGTAAAAGTTATATATTATTCCTTCACGGGGAAATTCTGTTAATCATCAGCGATAATTCGCACGTCCTTTATGTATACAATAGTTTATTCATGAAATTTGAGATACGTATAAGTGTATTAGTTCATTCATGAAATTTGAAATGTGCTTCTTGGATTTTATCAGACGGCTCCATCCCAAATTGACGGATCTTGGAATAATTTGTGGTTGTGTGACAGATTTCCACCTCATAATCTCCTTGAAAAAGAGAAGTGTTAAAGTAACTATAAGCATCAGTTGTGCTAGCAAAACCTTCGTGCCTCCATACCTTCATTATATTGTCGAGGGCATTCCCAGTTGGCAAGTTACTGAAATTTTTATCTGTGAAGCACATTTTCCAGCATCCTTTAGTACTCATTGACCCCCACATTATTATGTCATGAATTGCTGGATGTGCATGAAACTCCTTTATGAGTTGAGTTAGGTACAATGCCTGTGCGAAAGAATAAAGTTGTAGTCAATTAAATGAATCATTTTGTGTCGCCTCTTTATTCAAAACTTTGAGTAATAGAAGATATTTTGTGAAGAAAATTGTCAATGAGAATTTTCACCTATTTAGGTCTATGGGAAACATCAAGTTCTGTAATCCAAATTGGCAATTTTGTGGAAGCAAGCATATCGAGTGAAGCCCGAACATAAGGTAGATTTGGTGTATCAAAACGTGATTCGAGTCCAATTCCAAGAGGCCCATGATATCCTTGTTCTCTAATCAATTTGATTTTCTCTAAGTACATAGCTGGAGTCGCTACATAGCTGGAGTCGCACATGTATCTGATGGACGTTTTAGTGTGCTGTAGTTATTCAGAAAAGGAATTGCCTTCTGATCAATTTGATGAGCCATTTGTAGGAAAGTAGTTGATGCATTTCTCCCCATTCTCTCTTCGTAGTACGAAAAGTGGAGATTTTCATTGATAACGTCCGAATGAAAAACTTGGCCCGAGTATTGTTTCATTATAGATTTCATTCTTTTTTTAGCGGCTAATGGTAGATCTTTTCTTGGAAGCCTTTTTACCCATGAAGGTTGATACCTAGGATCATCCCATAATGTATTGTGACCTCGTACCAAGATGTTATTCTCCTTGGCAAATTCTAGCATGGTATCAGACTCGGAATAGTTTACTTTCCCCGAACCTTTCTCAGTCGAGTACCACTTCATTTCGTTATCAAATACTGAGTACTTGAACCCGGACAGAAACAATTCTTGATAGGCCTTGTTCTCTAAAATGAACTTACTAACTGCATTGCCAAATGGAAATGTCTGCTGTATCTGTTTTACAGAGATTTTTGCATTTTCAAATGGTAGGCCTTGAGAATCAACAACTTGGAATTTCACTTGACGCTTTCTTATTTGTAAATATGTTATACGTAAGGTATAGTCGATTTATAATAAATGGGGAGAAGAAAATCATACTATAGTTAGAGATAAAGTTGCTAGAATTTGAATATAATGCCACCTTCTCAATGCTTTGATCTTGATGGGAATCCCATTCCTCTTGAGTAACTGATTGCAATGAAATGCTATCTGCTCATATCTCGGCTGCAGTATCATTGGCCTAAAATGGGAAAAAACCATAACTTGAATCACAAAAATCCTAAGGAAATAATCCTAGCAAGAAAGGAAATATCTTAAAACTAGTGGTGTCAAATGGTACAAGCTGGCATTTTCCGAGAGAATCACGACCTTGCAGAATCAAAAAATGGAAAATTTTGTGTACTTGGAAAAAGAGTTCAACAGGACTGGAAGCATCAATAATAATGTCACCCTTAAGCATGGACCAGCAGCCCTGTCGAGCCATGACCCATCCAACAGGAAGTTCCCCGACTTTTGTCTTGAATATTGCAGTAATGTGAGCCTTTCCATGGCTTACCTATAACCAAGCTGCGAAAGAACCAGATACGCACCCAAAATAAGTAATAATTTGTATTTATTTTTCTTTCAAT